CATTCTGAGTGAGGTGACCCAGCACCAGAAGACAAATGCTGAATGTCTCCTGATTGTTCATGCTGGTTGACTACTCGCATATGCCTGTTTCAACTGGAGCACTCACAGAAGTCAAGAGACTAATAAGGCCAGGGTGGGAATAGGATTTCAAGGGAGGAGGGATAGCTCATAGGTGGTTTGAGAGTAAAGGGAAATAATGGAATGGGAAGGGTTAAATGAGGGAGGGGATGGGAGGCCAGGATAGAGAAGTACAGGAACGGTAAGATATTTGAAAATGCCATACGGAGACCTACTACTGCAGAAGTTTCCATATATATTTATATACACGTATAGAAAGGGTGATTAAGCGGAGGCTCAGGGAATGTCGCAGAAAAGGGGCAGAAAGAGTATGAGAGCCAGGGCACCAGGATACCTGCTGTGAGGCAAGTGACAGGGAAGCCACTCCTATGAATCTCAAGATATGATTGCTTAAACAAGAACTGCATAATGACACCACCAGCTGACATGTCAACATGGTTGAGGGAAATTGCACAAGAGCCAACCTTAGATGAAGCGCTACAGGCAATCAACAGCTGAGAGATGGATCTTCTCCAGGGTCGAGGCCCCTGACAGGGCATCCAGTCCCAAGTACTTAACCCTAAACACGTACACACATATGAGCAACACTAAACGGACTTAACAGGTTGTGTGTGTGTGTGTGTGTGTGTGTGTGTGTGTGTGTGTGTGTGTGTGCAAGTAGATGGATATATATGTAGGATATATATGTAACAATAATTAAAGAAGTCATGAATTTGAAAGGAAATAAGAGGGAGCAGGAATAGTTGAAGGAAGGAGGGGTAGAAACTGTCTAAATACAAAACTCATATGAGAGTCTCAAATAAATAAATAAAAATATATAAATACTACTTCCTTATCATTGCCAGTGGGTTAAGTAGGAAATGAGCAAATAAATGCAGAAGTAATTTTGAACCGGCATTCTAAAGACAAACAAACGTGACTGTACAGCTTTAGTTTTCCTTCATGCTCCCAGCTTCCCTAAATCTCACTGAAGAATAGTGTGGGCGATGTGTTCTGCCTGGCACGGTAGTATGCTTTAAAAAATGGCTACAGCATAGGAAAACGTCTAGGAAAATACCAGAAGGGACTTTCCTCTCCAGGCTGAACAGAGCTCTACCCTGGGGCCACTGGATAAAGCGCAGGCGCATCAGGAGCTTGACCTCAGGATCAGACTCTACGGGACCCCCATTTCAACCGCAGCCTGCAGGAACGTCGGGAACAATAAATCTCACATTCTGGATTTCAAACTGCACTGTCCTTCAGCTTCCTTTACTTTCAATTTTCTTCAATATGAGGTCTTCCTCAAGCTAAGCTTTCAAAGAGATATAGAAGTGGTGCTGGTGAGATGGCTGAGTGGGTAAAAGCATCGCCGTGCAAGCCTGATGACTTGAGTTCAAGCCCCCAAATCCACATAAGAGAGAGCGAACACATGCTACAAAGTTTTCCTCTTACTCCACATAAGTAAAATCAAGTTTTAAAAAATTACAACATAGTATTCTTCTTTCTTTCCTTTTTGTTTTGTTTTTTTGAGACAGGATTTCCCTGTGTGTAGCCTTGGCTGTCCTGGACTCCCCTTGTAGACCTGGCTGGCCTCAAACTCACAGAGATCCGCCTGCCCCTGTCTCCTGAGTGCTGAGACTAAAGGTGTGTGCGACCACCACCCAGGAAATAGCATTTTTCTAATGAGTTTAAGCAACATCAATACTATAAAGGTTCCCAATATGTTGACACTGTCTCCCTTCAACTTCGTTATAAAAAGATGGAAGTTTTACTTGTACTTAATTCCACACCTTCTCCTTTCTGCATTGAACATGGAAAGTAATGACTTTTCTAAGGCCACTGAGCTGAAAGTTTGACAATCACATGATGAGAGTAAGATCTCACGTCAAACCAGCTTCAAGAAGCCTTTGGTCCTAGCTATTGCAAGTGAAGAGAAGCGTGATCTTCTCTTGCTCAGCTCACCACATGTATATTTTTAAAGAGTTTATAGTTGTCTATGGGTATGTGCATGTAAGTGCAGTGCCCATAGAGACCAGAAGAGGGCGTCAGATCCCCAGGAGCTGAAGCTACAGGCAGTTTTGAGCATCTGAGTTGGGTGCTGGGAAGCAAACTCAGGTCTTCTGCAAAAGTAGTCGGCCCTCTTAGCTGCCCAGCCATTTCTCTAGGCCCACTGGTGAGAGAGGGCATACACACACATATCAGCCACAAGTATGCCAAGACCTCATTGAACTCCTCTCACCAAGAGGACTTTGGTATTCCAGCTGTGGGCCACCTGGAAACTGAGGAGCTAGCTCACTTACAGCTACCAGGTAAGTGGGTTGATGTCCACCGGCTCAGTCCATAAGGACAACAGTATGAGGAGCACGGGGCCCCTGCTGCCGTGCTGTCATTTGAAGTCAAGTGTCCCACATCCTAGGCAGCAACACAAGCCACCTGCTATTGAGTGAGCCACCATGGACACAGGACCTTACAGCAGCCAGACAGTTCGGGGAACAGCAGCTTTGACAATTCCACCTTGTTGCATCAGCTACTTTTATGGATGGTTCCTCGTCAGTGGTTACTACCAGGAAGTTGAAGGACTTATCAAAGTGTCCTGTTCAAGAGTTTTATGTGGCTTATGATGGTGGTGTGCACTTTTAATCCCAATACTCGGGAGACAGAGGCAGGTGGATCGCTGTGAGACTAGCCCAGGCTACAAAGCAAGTTCAGGACAGCCAGAGCTCTGTTACACAGAGAAACTGTGTATTGAAAAACAAAAACAAAATAATAAGAATTAGAGCTGGGTATTTCGGCACACGACTTGACATGTGCTACATATAGGTAGCAAGATCAAACCTCTCACTAGTGGTTCTATATATAAAATAACTTGTAATTTCACAAAAGCAGTATTTAATAACTTCCTGGATACTCTGGGCTTCATTGATTTCTTCCTGTATAAGCAAATTCTTTTTTCTACCTACCTGAGAATACACACTTCAAATACCTGCGACCAGGCCAGTGGGAACACCATCATCCTCTATATGGTTTCCAGGAGACAGGAACAGGCAGAGAACCTGAGGCAATGAACGTTGACATGATTGTGGTGATGGTTTCCTAAGTGTATCTGCATGTGTGCATATGTCCAAGTGTCAAACTGTATTTTACATAAGCAGATTTATCATAAGCTTATTATTACTATAAGCTTTATACGATTTATTATAAAGTTATACTTTAGTGCAGTCATTTTCTTTAAATACAAAAGAAGTATATTCCAGAAAGATCACATTAATTTATAATCTGCCAGCAGCCTATGTAAGTGTTTGTCTCATCTTCATCAGCACTGTAATTTTTAAAGGGGGAAAAAAAACAAAAACCAAAAAACAGAAACAAAACTGCTGGTCTCAGAGGTGAAAACAGCTCAGTCTTTTGTGCTTGCCTTCACTAACAGACTGAAGATTTTTCTTAATTCTCAGCCTGATTCTGTACTGACCATGAAGAACACTAGTAGAAGAGAAATGAATGCCCTGAATGTGCATGTCAGCCAGCCAAAATTACTTCTTGAAACGGCAGATAAAGTTTCCATAAATGTGCCCAGTCCTTAGATGGTACATTACCATTAGCCACTAGAAAAAGCTGATGGACACTTAACATTTAAAGAATGAACCTTAGGTTCCTTAATAACTGTATTCCCATCTCACTCTAAGGCTTATAAAGGTTAGATCACTTGGCTAAATACACACAAAGCTAGACAATGTCCAATATGGAACCAGAAGCCAGACCTCCAGGGACCCACGCTGCAGAGCGGCAGAGGATGAGAAAGTGTGGAAATCAATGGCATGACCTCAACTCAGAAAACTGAAATTCCTAGGACCTTAACTTCCTTATCTGTAAAGTGGGGGGTGGGGATGGTGGTGGGGGAGGGGTCCACTTAGAGATCACTAAAACTAAACTTCCTTTCAGCTCTGACCTTTCTACATGCATCTGGACACATTGATAAAACCTGACAGCTGTTGTCATGGCACTGTGGTTTCTTAATTGGCCAGCTGGGGGAATCCTCAACAATTCTTATAAGCATGTGTCAGCTCGCATTCAAACCCTAGCCTGCCTTGCTATCTGCAGATTTGACAAATAACTTCTCCACATTAAGAGGAGGAAATGAAAGTCTACAGAGCATCTAAGAGCTGCTAGACTTCAAAGGGTTTTTAATATAATGAAACAGAATACAAACAATCACTTAGCCAGGCCACGCAAACAGGAAGACAATCCAACAACGGCACATCTCGGATGTTTAGGTAGAATAATACCTTCTTGTGTATGGAACCCAAGGCAGAGTTATACCACACACATACTACCGTACCCACCATCAGTGGGTACACACACACATCACGAACTAAATGTTCAGACCTTAACAAAGGATGAAGCAGACAGAATTTAAAAGTAGTACCTATGCCTGGTCCACAGTTTAGCTATGTATTTAATTTTTAAAATCTCATGGAATGTGGAAGGGGCAAGGATAAAGAAAATCACCTCAGAAATGTTAACTGACAGCCTATCCATTTTAACAAGTATGGATTACTTCGCTTGTTTCTCCTGTTGTAGTACTTGCGACATGCTCTATACGTGCACAGCACTCTCATATACCTGTGTGGGTGTGACCCCAGACCCCTCACCCATATTCTACATGCTACCAATTCTTGCAGGAGCTACTGCTGGAGAACCTGGTCTAAATGCTTTCTAGCCACAGAGTGACCTGAAGGATAAAACCCAAGTCTCACAACAGATGACAACAGATAGCTCTTGGATACACCACACATGTGGGCAGTCAGGGGAGCAAGACGTAGTTGGAAGAATGGCCCTTCTGTAGTATTTTTATGTGTATTCTAGAACACCAGTGTCAACACGTCTTCCGTCCGTAAGGTCGTCTTTAGCCTGACCTGAAGTATCAGTTACAGAGATCAGCCAGCTTATTTCACTGATGACTGGATCACAGCCTTTATTAAAGTCATCTTTCCAACTGTGTGTGCGTCAATAAGTCTGCCTTAATCCATGCTCTGCACAGCCGCACCACTAGCGGGAAGTGCATCATTTGAATAGATCTTCGTCTTCATGAAGGTGACCGCATCCTCCATCTTTAGTTTTCTCAGCTCCCAGTTATTGATCTTCAAAACAAAACAAAACAAAAACCAGCTTGTGAGGAAATGATAACATATAAAATAAAAGCTACTTTAGAGATCTAAGCCCAAAGTAGTAGCAAGCCAGTTTTTAAAACTTAAATGTCACCAGGCAAATATTCATATACTAAATCTAATAAGTCTGGGAAGGAGGGAAGGAGTTAACACTGAAGGGCTCTCTGAACAGTGCAAAGTTATTTCCAAACTTAAACAGCACATTAGCAGAAGGAGCCACATCAAACCTTAGGACGCTGCGCCCAACCTCTGTTGACTATTGGAGCACCATAATGGGAGGTCTGGGTGTGTGCACTTCGCAGTGTGCAGGACCATATGAGAAGCGCTTAGATAAAGCCAAAGATCATCAGAAAGGTCCAGGCTACTGACAGGGAGATGAGAAAGGCTGTTCAAGAAAAGCTGTGATGCTGAGGGTCAAAGGGCAGCCTAAGAGAAGAATCTTCCAGGTTTCCAGGCAGCAAGCATACACTGAAGAGTCTCACAGAAAACAAAAGCCTTAACATCATTCCTTGTTCAGGGTAACCTGAAAATTGGAAGTGATTTCTTGTGTCTTAAATTTAGTAAGGAAATGTATTATTTATTCTCTTCTTCATTAAAAAGAGATTAAGGCTGACCAGATACCACCTATAAACTCCCTAGTAGAAGACAATACCCAACTGAGTCGAAGCCAAATCACACACTAGAATGTTCCTTCTGACAGAAAACAATAGCTAAGTGACTTGCCATGAGGCTGACTGCCCCCCAGGAGCCCCAGTGACCACCTTCAGCCACAGCAGCTGGCAGCTGGGAGAGTGCACAGCACTCTACAGTAGTGTACTCCACTGGGAGAGTACACGAACACAAGAAATAGTCCGTTCATATTTTTTTCCTTACCAAGATCACATGGAAACCCATTACATTCAAATGTCGAATTTTCATAGCAAACAATCCTCTGGGGTGTTGTGAATTCAAACAGTAAACAGACTTAGGAACACACAGCACAGCTACTCTGAAAAGAAAACAAAAGAACATGAACAGTGATAGGTGAGCATCTGGATTTTGCTGCCTCCTGCTCTTGGGAGCTCAGGCCAAACTCCTCATGGTCTTTGTTCTCGCCACTTCTTCTGTCCTTCACTTCTGTTACTTGGCCTCTGCAGACAACGCAGTGTACAACAACTACTTTGTAAACCCAAACCTGACATAATGTTTTACATAATTATGTACCAGCCTTCTTTATGAATGGCTTTACTTTCTAAGGAGGAAAACTTCCTGACACAGAAACACCCACTGTAAGGATTTCTGGGGCACTGCTAAGCTCTGACCCAAATATAATTATTTAGTAAAGCCAGTGGTGGAGGCAATGGCAAATGCTATACAATCTTCCAACTTAAGACCAAACACAAGAAAACCATAAGACAATAGGGAAGTCTGTATGCAAAGCTGAAAGCCATGCTTTCATTCTCATCATTCTCTGCTTTCTGAAAGTTCATTGAGAGAACAAAGAAAATAACAAAAGATACGTGTACCCTTGTCTTCTCCTAGATACTGGCTTTTGGAAGAGGAGACCGCTCAGCTTTCACACTTCCCAGCACTTTATGCTGCCAAGTGCTATATTGCCATTTTATGTCAGAACCATAGAGTAAGAGGAAATGCAACTTCAGTGGGGTCAGAGAAGGCTTTCTGAAGGGCACCTGGATAACATGACACTTAAAAATATAACTAAGGAATAAGCCAGACAGATGCAGAAATGGGAAAAGACAGAACACTGTGTGAACGGTGGGATGAGCAGGTAAGAGTTTGAATCCTTAGAGACTTTTCCCACTCCTCTCTACTGTATGCATGAGCCTGTATGGGAGAGTAGCCTGGCATTAAGTTCCCTGGGGCAAATCATCTGACTCATCTTTGTGTGCCCCACGGGCCTAGCAGAACCTTCCCACAAAGGCTGGCACAGCAGAGATGTGTGTGGAATGAATCCATGATCTTATGCTTCTCCTCAACAGGCAGGACATTGTTTTTCATGGTCTGACATATTTCTCCCAGAAGCACATGAGTCAAGGAAACGACTGAGGTTAGCTTTACTGTGCTCCGAGCCACAAACAACACTAATTATAAAGCTATGAAGAAAAGACCAGCAGGAAGGGTGAAAGAATTGGGTATTTGATGCCTCAAGTTTATGGTCACTGTATTATCTTGGCTGAGGTTTATACTGCTCCAATAGTTTCAATTATGTTAACATTGTCTTACTGAACTGTTATCTTTACATGCTACTTTATTTAAAACATCTGATTCAGCAGGTGTTTCGACTCCAGTCTGTTGTATTCAGCCACATGCAGAAGATTCACATGTGTGAAAGCCCCTATTATACTGCAAGCTACATACATTGATAAGGTCTTTTTGATACTGCAATTTAATACAAAGTCTTTCTTTATTAAAAATTTAAATCAGAATGCCCAGCAAATGAGTATATATAAACTACCTCTGCATGTTTGTGGTAGAAGTTGAATCTCCATCAGAAAATGAAAATACTTGGGTTCTGTTAGTATCCATTCTGATTTCAAAATCTGAAAAAAAAAAAAATTAAATGTTGATATTAATTTCTCACACTCTGCTCAAAGTGATTTCTATATATCAAAAGTCTAATACCAACAGCACCAGAAAAGAATGACAACATAACTAAAATAAAACTGAGAATGTATAATGTGGCAGACAATAATGTACAGATTTTACATGTAGAATTTCATTTATTTGTCATAGAATTAATTCTATAAGAACTATTGTTGTTGCCCTTTTCAAACAAAGCTCAAACAAAGAAGCTAGGATAGTTACTTTCCTAAAGTTACAGTACTAGGAAATTATATAGAGCAAGGATCCAAAGACTAATAAACCTCGTGCCAGGCATGGGAAATTTCCTGAGTTGTTGGTCAGAGGAATCAAAGAGAGTCTCAAAATAATATCAGCTATTGTGGTTGCCCTTCGCTGCCTCCTAGAACTTATAGGTAAGATCCTACTGAAGACACTGCACATATAAGACTTAGGAGAAATTGAGCTAGAACTGATCTGCAAGCCTCCTCCCTAGCTCTCACTATCCAAAGGTCCTATGCAAACTTCCAAGAGAGAAAGGCAGTCAATAGTCATACCAGATGTGAAGCCTACAAACAATAATGACCAGCATGGGAAGACAGCTCCAAAGGTGCAATAGTGGCACCTATGTCTTGGGGGAAAACAATACCTTTCTAGTTGGACTTAAGTCCTGCTCAATTGGAGGGGATCCTTGTCTAGTACTATAAACCTAGCCAACTACATGTGCCTGATGAGGTCACTTTTACTGCCACTTTCCTAAGTATAATTTTAACTGTATCACACATACTTATTCTTCCCTACAGATAAGCTCAGATCTTACCCATTTTCAAAGAAACTTCCTTGTAAAGAAGTGGAGACTCTTACAGAAAGCCACTATTCCAAATACAGAGAACAACTGACTATGGTAGGCCCAACCCCAGGTGGTCCATCTACAGAGCAGTCCCTACATCTAAGGCTCAGGGAACATCTCAGAAGAAGGCATAGGAAGACTGCAAGAACCAGAGGACCAGGGTATCTGCTGAGACAGTGTCTCTACATGTGACGGGAAATCTTAACAATATGGCCACCTAAATAAGACCCGCATGACACCACCACCAGCTGACATGCCAATATGGATGGGGAAAATCTCCCACACACCTACCGCTAGATGGAGAGCTACAAGCAGTTAATGACTGCTGAAGAAGAATCAATTTTCCCCAGGAACAAGCCTCCAGACAGGTTATCTAGTCCCAAGCGGTCCGTGGTAAATAAAAACACAAACAAGCAACACTAAATAGACTTGGCAAGCTCTGTGTATATAAATAGATGTCCGTGTGTATAGATATAGACAACACATAACATATATGTGTGTGTGCGTGTGCATATACATATAACAGTAATTAAGAAGCAGTCATGAATCTGAGAAGGAGTGGTGGGGCACAGGAGTTGCAGGGGGAAAGAGATGAGTAAAAATGATGGAAATGTAGTACTCATGTTTGAATATCATCTCCTAATCTTTGGTCAGAACAAACAAAATCAATTTTTAAAAAATGAAGGGAAACACATACCAATGTGATAATTATGTGGCAACTGAACATTTTTTGAGAAGCACCCTTCACCTTCAAGAAGGCTACTGAGCACCTCTGCAACCTTCTCGTTTGGATATGACAGTGATGGTGGCAGCTGTGGCAACGGTACAGGAATACCTTTGTTATAAGAACTTTCATCAAGTTTCAGACAAGTATTCAAAACATGAAGTTTATGAATATTCTTCTCTGTGTCACCTAAAAATACAAAAGCAAACACATGATGAAAACATTAATGCCATATTTTAAAATACTCATGTATCTATATTTCTAATCACCTCTTAGAATCCTTTTTAACTTAATGCATATTAATAATGGGTTATATATGTATGCATATATATATATATATAAAGAACTTTGATCCTAGTTAACCCCATTACCTTCACTTTTCCTCCCCTCCCCTCTTTACTTTGTTCTATTTTTTTATTTAAAAAAAAAAA